AAAGAAAGAGAGAAAATAATCATGTTTGCTCGTGTGCATATTTTAGATTTAAAGTTTTCCGTAAATCCTATATTGCGACGTTTTATATTCCATAGATAGATATTCTCTGTTATAATGACGTATCAATATTCGTTTCTACTATTGATTATATCGTATAAGTCGACGCGGCGCCGATAAAACTGTGCAAGACAAATTATCGAAGCGGAGAATCGTTCTTGTGTTTCCTCCTATCGTCATAGAAATAACCGTTACACCGATGACGCAATAGAAGTAAATTATCCGCGGATTAAGAGTGCCCGGCGCGTAAAGGAAAGGAGCGCCGCCAATTTCTAAGGGATCTCCGGGATGTGGGACGATACTCTATTTTTCCGGACGGCCGTTACGAAGCGGGATCGAGCCGTGGAGCGATTTATTAAGATCCTCGACGGTCCCGGGCAGAAGGTAAACCCGAGCTGGAAGACGGAACGAGAAGCTGACCGGGAGAACAGCCAAGAGGGATGACCGTAAGGCGCGGCTCATTCTGGAGAACCTTAACGTTCCCGCGCAGCCGAAAGACTGCGGATCTCTCTCTTTCTTTCAAAGAATGAAATATCAAGCGGAATCTTTCCGGAGAACGGCGGAAATAAATCTCGCAACGTCATATTCGTAAACATACTTTTACCGGAAGAATCTACCGAGAGTAAAGAGACAAAGAAAGAATTGAGGGAGAGAGAGAGAGAGAGTATCGCAAGAATTGCGGCGCGGCGCTTCGCGTGAGTCGGGCGAATTTCCGAAATGTAGAGAATATCGCTGCAGTTAATTTTTCATCTTCTCCCTTGATACTAACGTTACCCACTGTTAAATTCCTGCGCGATATAAAATTACTCGCAGTTCGCGAATTACTCACTGTTCTCTCTCTCCAACGCGCGGCGTTCCATAACGGCGATATGAATGATTTTACAACTCACTCCGAGAAGGCGGGGACTGCGCGACTTCACTTTGTATCGGGAGGGTTCGTTCGTCAAACGTAATTTATGTGTCGAGTTGAAGTCGGCGAATAGCAACAGCAGCGGCAACGAGAGTCAATTGCACCATTTTGCGATCCGTATCGCCTGTTGTCGAAGTTCTCTTGGGAAATATTTGTCGCAACCCGGGGGTTTGTTGCCGTGTACCGTACGTATAAAGAGTGTGTGTTCCTTAGAAAAATCTACACGTGTATTCCGTTTAATGTTTGAATTTGGCGAGATCGGGCAGAATTTTTCAGAAATCAGATACAACTGATACACCTGTGCTCGCTCGAGCGCGTTGATATGACGCACAACATTTGTACGTCACCTGGTGTATGTGTGTGGAAGTATTTGTTTTTCCTCGCGGAACACCTCGCGCAGCGGACCGGTGGTACGTATGCAGAGAGCGGCAAATCGCTCTTCATGAAAAACGGGGAATATTACCGGGTTCAGCCGAGGAGCATATTTACCCGCGGACGTAATCACGGGCTCCGCGCCGCTCACTTCTGCCAACGCACGGCTACTTTCACGATGTCGTCACGAGCGCGCGTATTGCCCATTAATGTGAGCTACGGTCCGACCATTACGTCGGAATGCTCGCTTTCGAAATAAAAGACAGCGGATCGCGGCGCGTACTACACCCACGACACGCGCCCGCCGTGGATCGCGCATTATACTCGCAATCTTTTTGTCGGAACGGACCTTCAGCACTCTCGCGCAAAAATGCAGTGGGCGTGTTGCCCTCGATTATGCCACGTATTTCGACATCCGACACTTCAGAGCGTGGCGAGCGATCTTTTAGCGATTCTAATGTAGAAGCGAGAACTACACGGAGAAAAACCGTCTCATTGGTATAACTGAATTTTCTGTTACTTGGGGATCAAATGAAAAACTTGGAACAGAAAGGTTCCTGCAGGAGATCTCTACTCGGCCAATGGCTCTCACTTATCTCATAAGAGATATGATTTCTCGTTAGCGTGAGTTTTTCGTCTATTCAATTATCCGAATTGATATCATTTTTTCCGTGTCTTTAAAAGATCAAATTATTTTCGGCTATTAGCAAATTCGGGTCGCGGCGCCCTCTCATCAAAGGTGCGCAATTTCAAATAAAAAAAACAATAAATACGAGTGCACTCACCCAAAAAGACATTCTCGTCGATGTCGTCGGCGTGCAGATCGAGGTCGAGCTCGGGCGCTCCGTTGTTGCCGGGAGCCTGATGGCTCCTCTTTGCCAGGTCCATCAGCTCCAGGAGATCGTCTCGCAGCTCGAGGCGGCCCGTGGCCAGTAGCTCGGCCAGCAGGGTCAAGTAAGGCGAGGTTAACAGGCGGGGACTGGTAGCACGCAGGCAACCGGGTAACCAGAATCCTGGGAGACCGTATGGAACCACCGGTACCGCACCGGCACTGACGAAGCCACCGTTCAGGAGTTCGCCGCACAACATAGATGCCGGGATGACCTCAGCTCCTCCCTCGTGACCTTGGCACCGCCTCGATGTCGGCTATCTGCGAGCGAGAGAGGGAGAGAGAGCTTCGATTAGTCCGAGAGCCAGGCTGGGACGTTGTCGGAGAATTAATTGCGAAACTTGCGGCGAGTTCTCCAAAGGTTAGCGAGCTAAGAAATGGGCCGGCGAACGCGGGCAGAGGGGTGTTTCGCGACTTTTCGCCGTGGAGAAGTTGAGAGACCGAGCTTTACGAGAGAGAACCGAGCGAGAATTTTTAAATCCGCCGAGTGAAAGCACCGACTATACCTCGGCTGACGGGGGTGAGTTAAGGCTGCAACGGCGGGGATGATTATACACAGCGGGAGATTAAACGGACTTTGGAATCATCAACTATCCGGGAAATTTCACCGGCGACTAGCAAGGTTCATTAATATTTGAAGTATTAAACGCTCTTTAGACGTACTGAAACGATACTGAATCCTCTTGCTCGATTTGCTGCGTTGATAGAGGTTTAAATCAGACTTGGGCGTTTACGCGTAAATTATAATACTCGACGTTCAAGCGAAAACAACGTAAACTATGTATGAGACATCATACTATGTAGACAATGAGGAATTTATAGATGTCGTTTAAAGAAAGCATAATTTATTTAAAAATTAATTAAGGAAAATGTATTTTTGTTCTTTAGGATCCTAATGGAGATTTTTGAACGTTACGATGTGTTAAATTTATCAATCTATCCTGTAATTAAGTGAAAATTTCATGTAATTTGTTACCTCCTTTAAGTACTACTTTTATAATTAATATCCACATAGATATTGAATTGCTCTTTTTGTATATTTTAATGTTTAACCTCACCTAACCTAACCTAAAAGTTCACGTTCTATGATGTGTCACGCCATCGTTTGCAGTCGAGCTTCAAACGCGGAGGACGGATGGTTCATCTCGTGTCGTGAACTATCGCAGAGTGTCGCTTTATTAACACATCTATTTATTTCTTTCGCAAATCCCCGACTTGACGCGTTTTCCGCGAGTTAGAAGAAATCGCACGACTGTTCGCGCGCGTCAGTCGGTTCTCTTCCGAGGGAAATTTACGCGCGCACAGAACACATACATTATACGGGATTCGGAAAGTCCCATTGGCAGTAGCGCCGGGACTTTGCGAAGTTAAACTTTGTTATGCGGGACGCGTCTTCCCGTCGTCTCGCGTCTCGCGAACTTTGCGGGACACCCGTTTCCGTCGTTAACGCGCGCGTATATATGCTGGCGCGCAAGATTTCGCGCGTTGCCAAAGCCGTCGTGCGCGCGTGCTCGCGCGCACGGTGTCATTAAATATACAATTGCACGGGCATGGAAGCCGAGAACGGCGCGGGGATATAATGGTTAGGACGGAGAACGAAATTTCGAGTCCGGTCGTGGTCTAACAAAGGAGCGAGCCAGAGTAATGCCGAACGCGAAACAACCTGGAAACAATACGATCTCCCGCAGCCGGGCGAACGGGCGCGCAATTATCGTGAAATATACGCAAATTAATCCCGCCCACGCGCGAGGCGGTCGCGCAGACAGACCCCTGATGAAATACGAACCGAATGGAGTAACACGAAGGCGGTGCCGCGTCAAGATACGGAGATAACGGGTGTTACGAAGCGAAAGCGCCTGAACGACCGAGTCAACAGAACGATTCGATTGATTGAGTTCCGTTGAGCTAAATAAACTAGGTTTGCCGATCCAGTTACACCGTAAGGGACATGGATTTGCTAAATCTATTTGCTATCTAGAACAGTGACTTTCTTCTTACGTGACTCTCAGCGAGAGATTATTATTTGGAGCACTGTGGTACATACTTGATTTTAATTTCTAATGTAATTAAATAAATTTAATAATTGAATAAACTTGTATGCATTAGAGCCAACAGTGGGAACAGCGCTCTTACTTTCTCTCAGTGTGCGGAGAAAATACTGTTACGTAACAACTATATCGTACATTGCACTTGTGGCATTCGCGAAAATAGAGTTTTAAAGCTTAATTTTTCAAATAATAATATTCCTTAGACGAAGTGTTTCAGGCGATTTCCAGAAAGATATTTTTAGTATCGTGTCGATTCGCAGCTTCCTGAAACCACGCACAGCACCGATCAACCAAACTCCATTCGGTTAACTTGTACGCGGATTCACGCAGACTCACACACCATTTTTCGCGTCGGACCAAGTGCTCGTGACAGATAACGTGGATTTTCGAAGGAAACACAGCACGACTCGCGAAATCTGCGATACTTTTCGAGAGGACACGCGGATACGCTCGGCCGCGAGCACCGGCGATGCGGCACTGAAGCAGCGCAAATGGAGCGTGACAGGCGGAAAACCGGAAGCGATCCAATGGGAGGAGAGACATTCCCGTGGAGCCGACCGTCCGCATGACGTCAGGCTTGGCGCGGGTGTGAATGCATCGAGTGATCTCACGGCGACAAGGCTGTGATACGCGCCCGATGCACCCGGCGCGCCGCACTGATAAACGGCGAACGGGAATTGACAGATTTTACGAGAGCAGAGATCATCCCGCGAAACAATCCATTTCTGTCTCTATACATCGCGAATTAGAGATATCAACTGGAAGATAGAGGACGCCCGAAAGCGTCAAGATATGACAGAACTGTCATTTGGTTCAAAACTTAACGAAACATAGCATTCGAAGATGAAGTCTCAACGCTTAACTTTTTAGACTCGAAATAAAAATAAAAATATCGTAGGATCCTTATACTTTTCGTGTAAATCGAGAAAACTAGAATATTCCTTGGATTAAGTATTCCACGCGATTTTTAGATAGATATATATTTTCAGAATCGTCGATTCATGTAGCATTTTCCTGGAACTACGCACAGCGACCGGGTAAACCACTTAGTTAAATTCATACAGATTCGTACAATTTCATATTTCACTTTTCATGCAATTTTACAGCGTGATCAAATATTTATACGGTATTTTATAAATAGAGAGGAATATCTCTCTCTGTGAGAGAAACACAAAGAGAGAGAGAAGTGCAATGTTTGAAAAGTTATTCTTTTCAATGTTGAGAAAATATCAAAATCCTCGATATAGATGAACTAAATAAAAAAACTTGGCAAAAGAAAATTAAATTTGTTTAATAAAAAACGCTCAGTACTCCCAGTTGAGGACATGTTGATAAAAGTACATTTTGTAACGATAGAAGGAAGGCCCAATGGAAGAAAGTACCAAACGAGGAAAATTTAACGAAAGGAGGTAAAGGAGTCACTACGTTCCTGAGTACACAAATACACGTCACCTTTGCGAATCACCGTGGAATCGCGAGCGTGGTGGATCGGAGGTGAGACACGCATAGCGAAAACATCCCGTCTGTTAATCCGATCGCCTACGCATGCAGCTACCATGCGCGAGATTACATTATGCGCACGTCGTGCGGCTCGAGATTATGCCGCGAGAAATTGCCGCGAACTTTGGCGTCCCTGAAATTCCGGATCGGAATTCGCGGCATTGCGCAGCGGCGTAGCGTCGCAGGGAACGGCATTCGCGTTCTCTCCCGCGAATCGAAGATCCTGCGACCAGATCTTACGAACGGTAAACACGACAGGGGATTGTCCCGCGAGATCCTTGGAGGAGGAGAGGAGGGAGGAAGAGAGTATTCGTAACGGTAACCGATACATAATATTTGCGGCTTATGGGGCGACGGGGATTCCGCACGCATCATCGCCGTAGTGGTTACTCGGTGCAGGAGTCGCGACGTGTAATGTTATTTGTACAATGTATGACCGAAATTCGCTTATGATATCGCACTACATAATTTAGATTTCGCGTATTTTCACCTTAAAAAGAGCACGACGCATATTTACCTTTTCTTTTTCTCTGCGAAATTTTTCCGAGTGTTCGCACACTAAGAAAGAAATGTTTGATACTGATATATTTGTAATTATAATCACACAGAGAAATAATTACTATAAATTATGGCCAAGAAACCCATTTTATCTCTTATTAAATTTATGCTATAATGTTAGTGATAACATATATACTATAATTATGTTATAATGTTAATGATAACGTTATATGCACACATTACTATTACCTTTTTACTACAAAAGTCTGGTTGGGGCCAAAAATATAATTCAATATTTTATATAAATTTAATTTATATATAATTATAATTTTAGTTGAATCCACAATTTTCTGCCTCTCAGTGTAGCTAAAACGATGTCGAGCGAATCGAAGCTTGAATTGATTTTCCGGTTCACGTGCCGTGCCAATCAATCCGATGAAACGTATCGCGAACGTATATGGACAGCATTGTATACCTGTCAATCAACGGAGTGCTAGGGACAGATTCCGAACGTCTCAGCAACACATCTTCAACACAATCATTCTACGAACTCGATTGGAAACGACATTTCGTTCCGACGAATATCGACACCGAGCTCATTGAGATATGTATCGTTAAATAAACTATACATCAATTTTGTATTTGTGTCAAAATGTACTTTCATTAACACATCTTGAACTGGGAGCACTGAACATTTTTCCGTACAGAAATTTCTGCGCTAAACTTTTAACACGACTAGTGTGCTAATTTAACACATTGTCGTTGTGTTATTTTCATCTGCGTTAAGTTCGCCGCTTCTAAGTGGTTAAAATAATACCATTTGTATGTAACATGTATACTGTGATAGAAAAGATATTTGAAAAATAAAAAATATTTATTCGCAATGAATACTAATAGTATACTCATCTAAATCAGAATTATATATATATATATATATATATATATATATATATATATATATATATATATATATATTATATATTTTTTTTTTAATGCAGTGTAAACAATTGCTTTCATAAAAACAGAAAATACATTTACTTATCTAAAAAACTTATATTTTCTTATCTAAAAAATATTTTATATTAGTACATATTGACTACAAGTAAATATGTTATTGATTATTACTCAACGAGTAAATATATTTTATTTCTTCGATATTTTTTTTTCTCAATACACATTGTTTAGTGACATATTTTGCATGTAAAATAATTTTGC